ATGTAAGTGTTCTTCATTTATTCTCATATTTGTAACTACCATTGCTTGTTTCCTATTTTCTTTCTCTAATCTTGAATATTGTATTAGTTTCCTTCACCTTGATGGATTACTGTTCAGAGTTGGAAAATATCTTTTGTTTGTTTTTAGCGCACAACGTGTTTGTTGAAATGCTTCAAAGAATGTTTTCATCCTTTACCTTTGTTAATTGTACTTTTGTATTGGTAATTTCATCCCATTGACTATGGTTCTTGTGACCTGCCACCTAAGGATATTTCCAAACCAAATGATTGGCAAGATTTTGTTGACCAGCTAATCACTAAAGGTCGGATATTGTATTTGATTTTCTTAAGTTCTTGCGTATTTGGAATTTTTTAATAGAAACAATGCATTTTATATTTTTTTTTATAATTATAATAATGTGTTGTAGAGCTTAGAGAAACTTATTTTACTTATCATTTCTTTCAGCTTGACTTTTTGATTGCTAAAGAAGCTGAAATTCAGGTATTATATGATATCTTCATTTTCATTAATAAACTAGTTTAATCTTTCATTACTAGTGTATATCTTTTAATTTGTAAGTATCCAAAATCATTTTCTTCTTTCCTTCTTGTTCAATGGTCATTTTAATATTTTTTATATAGAAATGAAATATGAATAACAAAACAAGAGGATGAAATATTTTTATGGTTGTTTTCATAAAATCTTTTATCTCCCTTGCTGAAACACTGAAGATCAGTGATGCAAGAGTATTGTCAGTTGTTCACAATGTTTTTTTTTTTTGAAAGAGCAGTTGTTCACAATGTTATTCACACTTTATTCAAGGTTTGATCTTGCTCCTAATTGGTAGAATCCACCTGAGTCATTGATTTTTTTTACATATGTTATAGAAAAAAAAAACACTCCAATAAGGTAGGTCTGGTTTAACTGGTAAGTTTTTGGTGACATGGGGTCTAGTTGGTATGCATTTGACAATTCTATGACCTTTATTATATTACATTTGATGATGTGTAAAATACATGCCATGTCACCTCACCAAAACTTACCGGTTAAACTGGGAATAAAGCATTTTCCAATGGAACCAATTTTCAAACAAGCTGAAGAAAGAAAAGCTAATAATATATTGATTCTTTTTTGCTAATGATATCCAGTTTGATGTTTGGATGATTGTTACAGGTGAGTGACACATCATTCTGTTCTGTGGCTAGCACAGTAAGGATGATGACGATGCTTTTTTATATCTTCTGAAACTGCTTCCTAGTAATTATTCTAATCCTAATTTCTATTTATGCTTTTTCTTGGGTTTGACCTATTTTCTTATAGATCAAGGATTCTGTTATGAAATATATAATTCTAGGTTTTTTTGTGCGTTTTTAATTCTCATGAACAAAAACTAATATTTACTCTTTTTACAGGATTTTGCCATGATGTTTAAAAAATTACATCAATAGAAAGCATTTTTGATGAGACTTGTTAGTTTTATGTGCAAGAAAAAAGATTGCACTATTCCATTGTTTTTTCAGTGTTTCCCTTATTAAAGTTATACTTCCAAAACTCTTATTTATTAAAACATTTTATAATTTAAAAAAGCTTACCCATAACCCATTATATTGATTATTTATGATTTATGACTTGTGTTTTTAGGACTTATCACATGTTATGGGAAAGACAAAGAGGAAATTTTCTGCCACCAATTATATTTATACTAGGCGAATGCTCGCGCTACGTAGTGAGATAATTATGTAATTTAATACAGTTATATATGGTTTAATGTATTGTAAATAAGTCATACATAAAACTTGTATGCGATTAAATAGCATGTATATTTTTTGATTTACAAATTTTTTATCATAATAAATAATGAATTTTTTTTACTATTAGTTTAAAATTTTAAATGTAATTTTTATGTACATATTAGTATATAATGTAATTAGTTGATGATTGATTAGATATAGATTCTCATTTGTGGTCATCTATTTATATTGAACCTCATAAAAATACATATTTAACGACATTTGTTAGTTTTACTATTGAATAGAAAATGGTGTCGTATTTTAAGTAAATATAAAAAATCTCATTCTCAATCTATTTTAAGATAGCGACATATTTTAAGTTAATATAAAAAATCATATTCTAGAACTAATGAAAAGAAAAAATGGAGCCAAAATTTTTAACTATAATAAAGTTGATTCCAATTAAAAAGTGTTCAATCGAAGATAATATCATTCAACAAACATCATAAGATATTACGTTATATTTAAATTACAAACATCATTTTTGTAACAGTCATTCAAAATATATGAGATTATAGTGCCTAATACAACAATGTAATAACCAAATGACCCTAACATATTTTAAATGAAATATAATTATAATATATTATCTATGCAACTAATATGGTATTCTTCTAATATGTGAGATTCGTCTACTATATGACCCTAACTATGTGGGATTCGTCTACTATATGATATTCTTCTAATATATTATATTATAGTATAAACATTATATTTGAAAAACCACTTTGAGTTATATTATAGTTTATAACATTAAATTTGTGATGGGTTGTATTTGACACACATTTGTGTATTTATATCTATATTATATATTTAAAACAAATCTTATATAAACATCCTACCTAAATATTCATCTTGAAGTTTTCTTTCTTCGCCACGTAAACAAACTTTTGTTATAAAGCCAAAAATGCAATAAAAGACACTTAATTGTATGATCATGATATATTGTATTTTGATTGAGGCTTGTACAAAACATGCATGAGCATATATTATTAATTTATCTCTTGTTTTGGGTAATTCGAATAAGATAGCTTCAAATCCAACGTATCAAACGGATTACCCATTTACTAAATTCTAAAACCCAAAAACTCAAACATGTTCTAATACCATACAAATATATGAGGTTTTAGCAAATTATTATCTCATATGAAATACCATTGATTATGTGTGAATAATTATTAAGAATGTGAAAAGGTTTGGGGGTTTCAAATGCATGACAATCAAGGGAAAATGCAAACTTTATAAGTATGTAAGATTCTGTGAGTGTTGGGTAAGTTCCTATCAAGCTATAGTTATGAGAGCCTTCTAAATTACCGATTTTTTGGATTTCAGGTAATTCTCATATAATATAAAAAAGTTTATATAGAAAAATGATGATGAATAAAGAGATTTACATGTGAATCACTTGTGACACATGTGAATCATTTGTGATTTACATGTGAATCACATGTAATTCATATATAAATCATGTTAACTATTTATTTTTAGTTTATTTTAATTGCTTATATATTGAGCGTTATGAATCACTTGTGATTTACATATGAGTCACTTATGATTTACATGTGAATCACATGCATTTCACATGTAAATCATCTAAATTATTTATTTTTTCTAACCATATAGTTTATTTTAATTCATTTCATTTTAACAATATATCATAAGTGAATCACATATGAATTACATGTGATTCACATGTAATTCACAAGTGATTTATATATGAATTACATGTAATTCGCATGTAAATCATAAGTGAATCACATATGAATTACATGTGATTCAAATGTAATTCGCATGTAAACCACATGTAACTCACAGGTAAATTTCATATGAATTACATGTGATTTACATATAAATCATAAGCGAATCACATATGAATTACATCTATATGCACACATGTATTTTTGTGAGTTTTCTTGCGTTAATCAATTTTTTATTTTATTTTTCTTGTAGATTTAGAAGAATTTAAGGAAAATATTGAAGAGATGAAAAATGATAAATTAAAGAAAATATGGAACACGAAGACATAAAAACGCTTTGAAATTTTGTAGTATTTTTTATTTTTTTTTATATTTTATTTTGAATCGAATAAAATACTTGTACTATTGTGTTTATAAATTAAATAAAAGAAAGATACATATATGTACTTGAAATATATATATATATATATATATATATATATATATATATATATATATATATATATATATATATATATATATATATATATATATATATATATATATATTCAGGTTCATTTGAGACCATGCTAATTTTGTGAGACCGTGAGAGCAAATCTAAAAATAATTTTAAAATGCAAAATAAATGGAAAAATCCAAAAATTCTTTTTTTAATTATTATTTTCGGAACTTTATTTAACTAAAAAAATATTAAAAAATTAAAAAAATTACCCTTTTTTGTTTTGAAAAATACGTGAAATATTCTAATAGAATATCACAATGTACATATTCTAATATAATTTTTAGAATGTTTAGAATATTCTACTAAATCTGTTAGATATGTAGAATATTCTACTAAAATATGTAAAAAAAAATGTACTTTTTTGTATTTATTTATTTTGTATTTTTTTTTTGGAAAATACATATTCTGAAAATAATATTGGAATTTTTTTTTTTGAAAATTTTCAATTATTTTGCATTTTAAAAATGTTTTTGTTTTATCTAATAAATGAGTGATTAGGATTGCATCTCACGATCTCACAAAATTAAGCCGTCTCACATGAACCTAACCTTATATATATAGCAAGAGAGAAAGAGAGTACAACTATTAATAAAAATGAAAAGAAATTACTAATCTACCATTTAGTAATAACTAACTTTAATCATTGAACATGAGCTTTGATTAAACCAAACCTAATGCTCATTTGGTGGATGATGAGGCTTGTAAAAGTGGAAACCATAACAAACCAATCAGTTGACCTTGATTTGCATAATTTCTCTACCAAGAATATATACGAGAATTTGACCCTAACTAGTAGAGCAACTTTTTGTACTTTAAAGGGTAAAATAGTAAAATTTCACCAACATTCCGTGGGGGGAAAAACTAGTGGATGGTCACGTCGAAAAACAGGGAGAAAGGCTAGGAGACTAGACGGAAGTCCGACGCAAGAAGGATCACAAAGGTGCTGTTGCAACTAACTCAGAGATAACATCATACTGCGTAACCAATCTTCCTGATAGGGTGAGTAAGCAGATGATCAAAGAGGCATTCCAGATATATGGAAAGGTGGTCGATATATACATTGGTGGTAAGAGAGATAGAATGGGTTCAATTTTTGCTTTTGTTAGATTCAAAGATGTTCGAGATGTGAAGGTAATGGAAAAAGAAATGAGTAGAGTCAGATGTGGGCATTGTATTCTCAATGATGATGAACAGAAGTCACGCGAAGAAGTTTGCTCCCCCACAATATCCTCCTAAGCAGGTTAAGTTGCAGCATATGTTGTGGCCAGGGATTTGCAGAAGCAGTCACCGGAAAGATAAATGGTAACATTATGACTAATCCACACCCAACTATTACCTTAAAGCCCATTGAAATAGTTTCCAAGTGGGAAGAACGAGTACTGGTGGGTGAAGTATGCAGTGCTCAACATATAGCAAACATCCCTACAATCATGGAAAGAGATAGTAATTATAGCGGGAAAGTGTACTACATAGGAGGTTTGAAAATAATTATTGTTTTCATCAACCAGAAAGAGGCGGATATGTTTTATCAGGACGATTCAAATTGGAACAGATGGTTTAAATGGTTAAAAAAGGGTTTCAATGATGACCATGGAGCAACAAGACTTGCATGGGTGAGAATACATGGAGTTCCTGTAAGATTTCGGTCTGAAGAGAACTATACGAAGATTGCTGAGAACTTTGGGAAACCAATAGAAACATTTGGTGGCAATTGGAAATTTTTTTGACATTTCAACGGGTCACGTATGTATTTTGATGATTGTTTTGAAGATTATCAATGGTGAAGTAGACATCGTGTATGAAAATAAGAGATATAAGATTGGTGTGGCCGAATATGATAGAGATTGGGCACCATTCGACAACAACACATGGAACTAGTGTAGTTTTATGAAAGATGAACATGATGGTGTGGAAGATGATGTAGATAACTCTGATAGTCCTGAAGACGAAGAGAATTCTGAATTTGATGAAGATGCTATCTTAGCAACATGGGAGATCCAAAATGTACAAAATGTTGATCTTGAAGACGGCGAAATTGTCGACAAAACTATGTTGGATGATGTGGTTCGTCGGTCCTCATCTCCGGCACCGACAGTGGAGCATACAGCTGACTTCAATGGAGATGCATTAATGGCGGAAGGTGAATCGGCTCCGATAATTAATACAGGTGCGAGTCCCAAAAGAAATATTGAATCGAACTCTAATATGGCCAAAAAAGACTCGACTAGATCTGGTGAGCCCAATTTAAATACATTAGCAAGGCCCATTTCAGACATTCCTCTTCCACGTGGTGATGAATGGTTAGGGGTGTCAACGGGATCAAACGGGAGCGGAAATAGCTGCCCCGCTCCCGCCCCCGAAATCAGGTGTTGCCCCCGCTCCCGGTCTCGCCCCCGGCTCCCCCGTTTACATAGCCCTCGGTCCCGCCCCCAGTTACCTCCATCGCCCCCAGTCCCGCCCCCGTTCCCCCGGTTCCTTCGGTTTATAGGCTTAAAATTCGTTTTTTTGCTAAACAACCACGTTGGTTTAGGCTAAAAAGCGTATTTTTAATAACATTAAAAGCTTAAAACATAATCTTTTAGAAACTAAAAAATTAAAAATCCAACATTACGAATTCAACATTACAAAACGATAATTGCAACAATCTTAAAAATATAACATATGACAAATCAAATATTACAAATATAAAATACTTACATATCCAAAAATATATGATCAATTCACTACCTTTTCAATATCTATTAATTGGAAACGGGAAAGTAAAACCTAACCTACACCTAAAATTTGAAAATCTATTTCGTATATTTATTTTATATTAAATATATATTTTTTACATAAATGTACAACCGGGGCCCGCGCAGGAGTACGAGACGGAAATACCAACTCCCGACCCCGGTCCCGAAAATAAGCGGGGTTTAATTCTGCCCCTGCTCCCGCTCCAGGTTTTTTTAAACATTTAGTCCCACACGGGATCGGGGTCCCACGGGGGGTTTTTGACATCCCTATGAATGGTCCACAACTCTGGATAAAGTCCGATTCGATACTTCATCCCCAAAATTCAACATTGGGGGTTCTGTTGATAAGAGAAGAAGAATTAGTAAATCGGTACCTCCCTCATATATGGCTCCGGTTTTTCGATCGCTTGACGCATTATATGAACCCTTGCCTCATCAGGTAATTGACATGATGTGGTTGCAACTACTCCGACCCCACATCTACTAGATCTGAATCTCATTGCGCCGTTAAACATCTCCAGTAATCACAGTTCAGTAGACAAAGATTCCACATCAAAATAGATTCCAAGTCTCCTAAAGATAGGTAACGTTGTTGGTTTTCAACTTGCCAATGACAATCCAATCATCATGGATATCGTCAACAATGGAGACGGCATGGAAAAAATTCCTCAATGAATTGTTTAAGTCTCAACATTAGGGGGTGTGGGGAAACTCAAAAGATTGATTGGATACGCAGACTAAAGACCTCACAAAATGTAGACTTTATTGGTTTACAAGAAACATGGGTAACAGATTCAAATACAATCGATTTTGAAGGAGCTTGGGTTAATTCAAACTATGTGGTAGAATTTGTAAACCCGGTGGGTAGATCAGGTGGTATTGTGAGCATATGGGACCCTTCGACTTTTTTCAAATCCCATTCCTTTTCCTCTAAGAATTTTCTCGCTATATCGGGACATTGGATTGGCATTCCTGGAAGCACCACAATTGTCAATGTATATGGTCCTCAACCAGTTAGAGAAAAAAGGTTACTATGGGCTAAACTTCTTCAGTTAAAAGGGAGCATTAATGGAATATGGATATTTTTTGGGGATTTCAACGCAGTCTGTTATGAATGTGAAAGAGTAAATTCTAGGTTTTGTAAAACCACAGCCAATAACTTCAACGATTTCATTGTCAGAGCTGGTCTCCATGAATTCAATCTCGGTGGAAAGAAATTTACGTATATGTGTGATGATGGCTTAAAACTTAGTAAGTTAGATAGGTACTTGGTATGTTCTAACTTCATGGCTCGGCAACCACTCTCCACGGTTATAGTTCTGCCTCGTGAGTACTCTGATCACACTCCCCTGGTTCTCAAGCCATCGAACCAAGATTTTGGGCCTCCCCCTTCCGTTTTTTCAATTCATAGCTGCATCAAGAAGACTTTGATTCGGTTTTTATTGAGGCATGGAACTCCTGTAAAGGTTTTGGTTCTCCTGATATGTTTTTAACAGCCAAACTACGTTTTGTTAGAAAAGTGATTTGTAAATGGAGAAACACAGATGCGACTAAGGAATCAAAAGAGTTGACTAAGTTACGGAAGAGAGTAGATGAAATTGAGAATCTTGCCGAATTAAGAGGGTTGTCAGAGGAGGAATTATCAGAAAGAAGAGATAGTAAAATCAAGATTGTTGAACTGGAGAAGTTTGCAAAATTGGATATCCAACAGAAGGCTAAAATCCGTTGGCTTGCTGATGGTGATGAAAACACGCGTTTCTTTCATAACGCCATAAAATGCAAGAACATAAAAAATAGATTGCATGGTCTAATTATAAACGGTACATGGAACACATAACCCACCGAAATCAAAAGGGAGATTCACTCATTTTTTGGTAACAAATTTCACGAAAGGTGGCCGAAGAGACCAAAACTTATTAGCAGTGATTTCAATGTGTTATCTACGACTCAAAGAGATCTCCTTGATGCACCAATTTCTCACGAGGAAATTAAGCAAGCTATATGGGATTGTGGTGGTGACAAATCCCCTGGTCCAAATGGTTACACATTCAAAGTAATAAAAAATAAATGGGATGTGATGAAGGATGATATTATTCGATTTGTATCCTACTTTGAGTCTTGTGGCAGTTTTGCTAATGGGTGCAACTCTTCCTTCATAACCCTCATTCCAAAAACAAAAGATCCATTAAACCTTGTGGATTACAGGCCCATAAACTTCATAGGATGCATGTATAAAATTGTGTCCAAAATACTTGCCTCAAGGTTAAAACTTGTGGTGGGATCGGTGGTGGATGAAATAGAATCAGCATATATCGAAGGTAGACACATCCTAGAAGGACCATTAATAATAAACGAAGTGTGTTCATGGGCCAAAAAAGTGAAAGAAAAAATCTTTTTATTAAAGGTTGATTTTGAGAAATCATTCGATTCATTAAATTGGAATTACATGGATTCAATTTATGGAGCAAATGGGATTCAGTTGTAAATGGCGTGGATGGATTCAAGGTTGTCTCAAATCAGCTAGAGCTTCAGTATTAGTCAACGGTTCTCCTACCGAAGAGTTTCCAATCACCAAAAGGGTACGACAAGGTGATCCGATCTCATCTTTCCTCTTCATCATTGCTATGGAGGGACTGAACATTGCCCTGAAATGTGCCCAAAAAAATCCATAATCCAAGGTATTACTCTTCCACACAATGGACCAACTCTATCTCATTTATTTTATGTCGATGATGCAGTATTGGTGGGAAAATGGTGTGAAACCGACATTAAAAATCTAGCCAGAATTCTAAAATGCTTTCATATTTGTTCTGGTTTGAAAGTAAACTTCCACAAGTCACGATTATTTAGCATTGGTGTGATGGAATCTGAGATACCGTGTCAAGCAAGGGTGATAGGTTGTATTCAAGGATCATTCCCTTTTAGTTATCTTGGAGTACCTGTTGGTGCAAATATGGCGTTAAATAAGAACTGGAGACCGATAATTGACAAATTTCAGTCTAGGCTTTCTATTTGGAAAGCTAAAACCTTGTCATTCGGTGAAGACTGACACTCATCAAGTCAGTACTGAATAGTCTTCCGACTTAGTACTGCTCTCATTTCAAGGCGCCAAATGGTATAGTTGAAGAACTTGAAAAAATGAGAAGGAAATTCCTTTGGAGTGGCAATGAGTCTCAATCTCGGATTCATTGGGTCTCATGATCTAAAGTTGTGGCACCAAAAAAGGACGGCGAACTAGGAGTTGGATCGTTAAAAGCTTAAAATGCAGCATTGCTCACAAAATGGTGGTGGAAACTTAATGTTGTGTGTGGCGGTTTATGGAGAAAATGCATAAAAGTATACATAACTTAGCACGAAAACCGGTTACTGTGATAGCAAAAACATCGATGTATAGGGTGTGGAGCAACATAACTAAAGCCATTAAAACTCTTCATGAATTTGACATAAGTTATCATGACCTGTTTACACTTGTACCTGGTTCAAATGTATCGATTTTGTTTTGGAAAGATCGGTGGTGTGGATCCTTAACATTGCAAGAAAATTTTCCTAGATTATATGAATTAGAAACCACAAAACTATGTCTGATGTCTGACAGGATTGTCTCACCAGGCTTCTGCTGGAGTTGGAAGTCACAAATTATAGAAGATGAGGTTATGGGTGATCTGACAAATCTTTGTGAAATGCTTCGAGGGGTTAATACACAACCAACACAAAACGGCTTCCGATTCAATCTAAGTGTGGATGGACTATATACGGTTTGTATTATGTGCAATATAATTGACTCTAATAACAATTCGTGTCATTAGAGCAAGATATGTTGGTCAAATGTAATCCCACTAAAAATTAGATGCTTTATCTAGATGGCAGCAATGAAAAGAATACCAGTGGCGGAAAATCTTGAAGCAAGAGGAGTCAAAGTTCAATCAAGCATGTGCTCTCTATGCAACATGGTCCACGAGTATAGTGATCATTTGTTGATTAAATGTGATGTGGCTGTGGAGGCTCGGAATAGGATCTTAAATTGGTGTGGAATTCCTAACACTCAATTTAATGATGTTAATGAGTTTCTTAACTTTGCAGCAACATGGGGTAATTGTCCAAGAAAGAGAGTTAAGGTAACTTTGATGTTATATGGACTCTTATGGTTCATATGGATAGCCAGAAACAACAAGAGATTTAAAGGGATTCACACTAATCCTGCAAAGATTGCTGACGAGGTGATCTTACAGACCTTCTCATGGTTCAAGTTCATATCTAAGGAGGTGAAGCATAGGTGGTTTGAATGGAGTATATCTCCTTTTTGTTAAGTTTTGTTTCTCTATCTCTATTATAGACTCCTCTCTTTGTATTTGTGCCCTCGTTTTAGTTACTTGCTAAGCGAGTGACTTCTATTAATATATTTATTTGTCGTTTCCAAAAAAAAACTAGCGGAGCAAATCACAATAACGTTAAAGTACAGGGGTTAAACTGAAACTCTTTATTGGGATCCGAGGGGATCGGCCATCGGGTTTATGTTACTCCGTAACTATCCACTGCTCCGCCGGAGGAGCTCTTCGATCGGAATACGGTGTACGTCTTCCCTTCTGTCTCTTATAACTTAAAACCACAAATCCTCTACTGTCACATACACGTATATTTTGATGTCCCTAACCTTGATTGATTAGGGTTGCCATTTTCCCGTAATTTTGTTGCTCTTTATGAAATTAATATGTAGTCATATCTGGACATAGACTGCAAAACTAGAATCTCGACTGGCGGTTTTTAGAAATTCATGATCACAATCGAGTGTTTGTCTCTTGATTATTTGAAATCTTTAGTCAGAAGTGCATCGTAGTTCAATGCACTATGTTCAAGCCCTAATATTGTGACTTCCTTTTTCAATTACGAAGGATGAAGTTTACAGTTTTGAAATTAATCTTACATATCGATTCTTGATTTGGATATGATGAAATCCAAGAAAGCTTTTGGATAAGGTTGCATCAATTTGTTGTTGCAGATATTCATATAATCAAATGGCTAGCACTGCATGTTTTATGATCATTAGCAGAAATGACATTCCTATATACGATGCAGAAGTTGGAAGTGCTCCTAAAGTATGATTTCTTTTGACATATCATTTGTGAATTTGTGAATTTGTGAATGCAATGTTTCTTTGCTTTATTACATTTTATCATATAAAGATTTTGTGAAGATTGAAGAACCCTTTTCACTCACAACTTATATATACCTTGCAATGACATTATAGAAAGAGGAAGCTGCACATCAACACCAATTCATTCTCCATGCAGCTTTAGATGTTGTTCAGGATCTTGCATGGACAACAAGTGCCATGTAAGATTCATAACAATAAATCAATCTCTTTCACAATTTTAATCAAGAAATTTTACTTTTTTCTTTTTATGTTTGCCAGGTTTTTGAAATCAGTTGACAGATTCAATGATTTGGTAGTGTCAGTATACGTTACAGCCGGTCATATCCTTTTTATTTTTTGTAATTAATTACCTTACTTTTTAAAAATCATTATATATATTTTGTAAATTTATATATTTTCATTGACTCAAGTGTTACATACTCGATTGATGCTGCTTCATGACTCACGTAATGATGATGGAATCAAGACCTTCTTTCAGGAGGTCCATGAGCTTTATATAAAGGTAATTAAATTTATGCCTTGAAATATTATTCAAGGCTACACAAATCAAAAGATTAAAAAAAATGTTAAATTTTACCTTTTTTACTTTGTCTATGTGCAGATTCTTTTGAATCCTCTCTATTTACCAGGATCTCGTGTCACATCTTCACATTTTGATACAAAGGTCCGGGCCCTTGCAAGAAGATACCTATGAGGCTCTCATCTTAAAGCTTCAAAAGGGTAATTTTGGAATTAAGTTTATTCATAATGCGGTATTTTGTTTTGATTCCGCTATAGAGTAGGGTATAATTTTTATATACTTTAGCATGTAATGTTAAGAATTGATGAATAAGTCTATCTACATGTTTGTTATGATGGAATCAAGGAAGGAATGGAATAGTTGATTCCATAGAAATGAAGAAAAAAAAATGTAATATTTAATGCAATGTAACCCTGTTTTTATTTATGTAATATTTAATGAATTTCTTTTTTGATATTTTTATTGTTTTCATCCAAGTAAAATTTGACTTTTGAAAGTAACTAACAAAATATGATTCAACAATTTTATTATAACTTTTATGGGCTTTATAACCTATTTTTATAATTAATATTTTATACTTGTAAATAAAAGTTTGTGAAATATAATAACGGGATTAAAATTGTACATTGTATTTTCCTAAATATATATATATTTAAAAAAAAAAAAAAAAAAAAAAATCATATGGAAGTTCTCTTCATTTGTACATGCTAAATAAAAGGAGAAGAAGCAAGATTTGGGTGAAGAAAAACCCCTTTGATCGGGTAATTTTCTATGTGTTTTCCACTTACCCGATTACAACCTTCAATCCAATTCCATTCCCATCTATCAATACAATTCCGACCTCTTCTCCACACCACAATTCCCGAAGCCATGTCCCTATACAAACAAACTCCCCCTTCAATCCCCACACACTTTACACTCCCACCAACAAATCTTTTCCTTAATTCATCCGGCATTCTTTCAATCACATTCCATTCCCCTCCCTCACCCAACTCCCAAACCACCACATCTCCGCCATGACACCCGCCAACAACCACCAGCTGTCCATTTCGCGGAACAAGGGCAGCAAATTCCAACATGTACCCCATCGGGACACTGAATTCCCTCCATTTATTCGTATCCATTTCAAACCCCATTATGCTATAAGCACGCGCTGATGTCATCCAATAAAGAACCCCATTCGAGTAAACACTCTCGTTTGGGGTCCACACTGTAAGCCTCACGGAAAATTCCACCGGCATGGACCCCACAACCGTCCACTTTTTAACATTCGAATCAAACATTTCCAATGTCGATTCGTACGAGGCGGCACCACCACTTGCCGCCTCCGACATCCCGCCCGCCACGTACAACTTAAACTGCCCGGGAAAAACCTCGATGATTCCCACACCGGGATTTGTCCGCGGTTTTCGAAGGGGCGGAAGCTGCCCGAACTGCCCGGTGAACGGATTACAAACCGAGAGTTGGATCGGGGCACCACCCATGGATTTGAATAGTATCAAACCGTGTCCCCCGATTGTTGATACAGGTTTGATTAGGGTCGGGACATGTTTGAGATCAAGTGAGTGCCAAGTGTTTTCGATTGGATTATGAATGAAACAGAAGTTGTTCTTGTTGGTGGGTAAGGCGATGAACCATGGCGGGTGGTGGTGGTGCCGCCGTGTGTCTCGGGTTGCCGCCCTGGCGCTGTCGCGCCAGTGGCGGCAGACAGCCGTGGCGCGAGGTATGGAGGGAGGTGGGAGGTAGGAGAAGATGTTGGATAGGAGATCAGAAGGAAGATTGCTCCACATTATTTGAACAAGTAGTGGTTGATGAGAGTTATTGTAGTTATAAACACGTAGTGCAATAATTGAAAGTTGCAAGAAATGTTGCATTGAGATGTGTGCCACCTATGGCTACCCTACCCCACCCTGTGCTATTGGTGATCGAATCTGAGGCACATGGGGATGTACTTAATTAGTATATTATTGTTGTATAATTTGTTTGTGGGAGGAAATTGTTGTTGATGTGTTCTTAGGAGAGCTGAAAGGTCACAGAACAACATAAGGTTACAAATATTGTTTTATGTAAATTTGTTGGGTTCTTGGCTTTATTGTCCCATATGGATGTCTTGATGTGTTTTATGCTGAACAATAACGACGTCGGTTATCAGAAGGAGTTTTGTTACTATTTAGAAGGGTAATTATGTCAAACGTTAACAACTTGCTTCTTTTTTATAGTCCGAAAGCTCTCATGTACGGACCATGTTTTAGTTATGTTTAATCTCGTGTTCTGTGAAAAGAATGCGACTTACTCCAATTACGTGTGGGTGTAATACAAAAGAAAATTCACTAGGGCTTTAAGATTTAAATATTGGTTAGTTTTTTCTTTTTTTTCATCTATATATGATTTAGTTTTGAAGTTTGTTCATAGAGTTACTTGTGTTTTTTTGATTGGGTAGTCTTGCTGGAAAAGAAACAATGTTGGTGGAGATCGTCATTGACTTTAAAGTTTAAACAATAAAAAATAAATGTAAGTGCATGGGTAATTATTAAATAAATGGTCTTTAAACGCGAATTGTCAACAAGTGGGTTGTGATCGGTCGAGGAGGTGGTGATTTGTGGTTAGGAATGGCAACGGGGTAGGTTTGGGGTGGAGAATGGTTTTGCAAACCCGCTCCGATATGTTTCGGGTATTTTATCGGGGCGTTCCGTTGGGTTCGGGTATCTTATCGGGTTTACAACAATTCATAACGAAATCTTTATTCTGTTTTAGGGTACCCCGATGTCTTATAAAAAATACGTGTTCCAGCCTCCCATTTAATTTAAAAATATGATGAATCACTTTAATAAAATTAATTCGATGTTATATTAAAAATTATTTGATTTAATTTTAGTGTAATAGGTCAAAATATAAAAAATGATCATTTATACCAGATTGTTAATAACTAAAAAGATTGTCCACAGTAAGTATTTTATCTTTGAATGCGTGTAATTATCATCAAAAGGATTCGAACATATATATATATATATATATATATATATATATATATATATATATATATATATATATATATATATATATATATATATATATATATATATATATATATATATATGGGAAAAGTGAATATACCCTTAAGGGTATATAAACTTAGGTACCCAAACACATCATACTATATCGTTTCGTATTATATATAGTCATTGTAATTGTTCAATGTTCTTATAATTCAACTTCTAACTTGAATTACTTTAAAGATTTTTATAAATTTCATGTTTATCTTACTCTTACATAATTGTCATTTTCAACAATAATATATATATAGCTTAGTAAGTGTTCGATAAAAAGATATGATGTAAGAGGAAGATAATAGTGAAAATTTAAAAATATTGAATATAAATCAAGTTAAAGATTGAAGTTTAACAATATTATACTAAATATATCAAACAAAACGACGTATTATTATGAGTTTGGGTACCTAAGCTTACATACCCTTAAGGGTATATTCACTTTTCCTTATATATATATATATATATATATATATATATATATATATATATATATATATATATATATATATATAATCGGGGTGGGTCGGGTCAAGGCGAGGATAACTCATTCTCTGCTCCAAACCCGATAAAAAAACCCAATAACGATTTGTTACCTGACTCAAAATAATCGGGTTTTGGGTTTCCCCGCCGGGTTCGGGTTTTTTTCCCATCCCTATTTGTGGTGTAGAGACTGCACCACAATGACCAATCGGAGAGGGAGGTTTTCGTTTGACTCGGGTGGGACCATTTACAACTCTAAACAACCTTATTTTCCACACCAATCTTATTTTCCTCTATTTACATACACCCATTAATCTTGTTAAAATCCAAATATTATGGATCAAAATCAAAATATCCCCACCAAGTAATTGAAACCGTAGTTTCGATAATGTTTTTTGGGTTAGATACAACTCCCCTTCAATAGTATTTGAATATGGTATCATCTCAATGTGATTTTATAAACTTGCTCCATGGTTGTTCCCCTATCCCACAAACTCAACTTTTTCAACAATCATATCATGTTTTTCCACTTTATCCACAAACTTCCGATTCATTTTCTTATATCAAGTTATCAACAACCTTTCCAAACACAACCACAACAACAACCTTCACCACGAACAAATTTCACAATCACAACCTTCACCAACAAATTCTCCAGATTGTATAGTTGAAACACAACTAGAATAACCTTGACCAATAAGGAAGAAAGGGAAAAAAAATCCGTTCACTCAACATGAATGGTTAGCTTGGACAAAGGATGAAGAAGTGAATTTAACACGAGTGTGAGTTTCGACTTCCCAGTACTCCTTAGTTGAAGATGCTCAAACGTCTAATTATTTTTGGAAAAAAATTTGAATCGTTTTCTATGATTTAATGGGAAATGAAAATTGAAATCCCGATCAAACTACTTCGAAGTGGTGCGATTTGAGGTTGAAATGTATCAAATCAACAAAATTTTCAGCAACCTCACCAATCTACACAAAGTTTTTGATGTGTTTAGCACGATCATGGACAATATGAAAAAACAATAACCCACAAAGCTTTTTCCTATGTCTAACATTGTCTAAAATTGAAATATGCTCCATAATATGGATTTTTTTTCTATGTTTGAGATTTTTATATTAGACCATTTTTTTTTTCAAATCGTCTTTTTTTTTATTATTTTAAATTTGGTTATTGTTCTTTTTTTAAAATTTTAATCAATGCATTTTTTTAATTTTAACGAATGAAAAAACTAATTTAAAAAAATAATATAGCATTTTCATTATATTTTTTATTTAACTTTAAACAAAAAAAGATGATTTGTATTGTTGTATAGTGGTAGTGAGTACGTCAACTTAATAAATTTCATTCATATCCTTACAAAATTTCAATACTACATTAATATCCTTACAAATTTAAAACAAATCGTACATGTCCATCTAAAATTATAAAAATTACAAATATATCCAAACTCATATTTTAATTAAATTTAAATCAATTTAATATTAAAAATATTATCAAAAATCAATATATTATATGATATTACCAGACTATCATTTCCAAATTTTTTTTAAACTATTAAACACTCGACCCGTGAAGTAAACATTGTAGGCATCAGAAAACTTCCTAAGTGTTCCATTGTTGTCGAATTTGAGTTCTTCATTGTATTTATTTGAAAATATAGTTTCTTCTTGGGTTTGGGCTAATGCATATGATTTTCAGACCGTCAATCGTTACATATTTTGCTGAATTGCTTATGTTAGTTTATTTTATTTCTAAATCTAGTTAATCTATCTTTTTTGAACTAATCTCGTCATTCCACCCACACAAATTTACACCTAATTTATTTATTTTGTAATATAAATCAAGTGTTTCATTTTATTGTTCTTTTTAGATTTTTTTGGTG